GCTCTGGGGGAGGCAGCCTTGAGTAGCCCCAGTTGGCAAAGTGCTGACAGCCATTAGAAGGACTTTCGCCTTCATCCTCCCACTTCCCTGGTTCTTGAAAGTAGGAATAAGAGATCCTCCGGAATAGGGCTTTATTCCGGAGGATCGTGCCAGTCTGGATGCTCTTTTCCGGCTTTTTCCCAAGCCTGAAAAAAAGCGGTGGCCATGTTTATTTAAATCCCGCAGGGGATATTTAAATCCCCCGCGCATTTCCCTATTTCAAAGTTCTAAATTAGCATGGCTATTCCGAAGAAGGGGCCAGTGTAGACACAGCCTGGGAGTATTGCTGCTTAGGATGGTAAGAGCAAACCCTTCAATTATTAAACTTGTTCATACAATGAAACCAGTTTACCATACTAGTGCTGTTTACAAGGCATAAATTCTCAAGAGTTTTAAGTATCTTTCCTTCTGTTTGAGTTTATTCCTATTGTGTGAACAATAGAAATATCTTGCCTATGGGTTCGAGTTTAGAAATCAAGATTCACACTGACTGAATTGACAATATAGAGTCAAGCTACAGTAACTATTAATGGTAGATTCTTGTGAGTCGGTATAATTCAAACATGGAGACATTGTTTATTTTTTATTTTGTATTCTTCATTTATATTTTAGATAGCTTAATTATTATGTCTTATAAGGCTTCACTAGTGTATTCTGGAGGTTGACTATATATTTAGCAGAGGTGCAGGATATAATGTACAACCTCACCGGCTTCATTCAATGTGTAGTTATGGCTTATTGCTTTCAGGTATGAGAATGTTTATGCTAAGATACTGTACTCATTTACAATTTATTCTTGGTTCTAGGAGATTGTTTCATCAGCCAATTTTAAACTAGATAAACATAATAATACAAAGATGCCAAATCTGTAATATTATCCCTTTGTTTTTTCAAAGAAATGAAACTGTTACTGATTAAAGGAATGAACAGATGTCAGCCTCATAGTAGCAGTGCTTACCTTATGCTGGGGCTTGCTAGAGCTGAGCCCCATCACCTCTAGGCATGGCAGTTCATAGTCTCAATCCCTCATGGTGGGTGAGTCAGTTATGAAGGCTAAACAAATTGCTTGAGCCCCAGCCCCCCACCCCACATTACAAATTAAAAGCTGTGTGTTAATGGTTACTACAAAGATACCTGGTGATCAGTTTGTCATAATGATGTGAAATGATGCTGACGTTGTGTTCAGACAGCTGGGGTGTGAACAGGCCATTTTCAATAGTAAATGCCTATTTTGGTTAAGATACGGGGCTCCTGGATAAAATGCAGTACAAAGAGAATGAATCCTACCTGTGGGAATGCTCTTTTAGATAGTGGTACAGATCTAACTATAATCACCACAAAGATATTGGTGTCATCTGCTTAGGTACATTCCCTTTTCTTTTATGCATGTCAAGTATTTATTATTGCAAATTAATTACTTTTTGTGAGATGCTTTAACATATTATGGGCACAAATATTAGCTGCATGAATCTAGTTTATGTAATCTTTGAGTTCTGGAGATAGAATGGATTTTGAATCATCAGAATCTTTACCAATAGCATCCTTCATTCCTGTGCTTAGGACTTGTGCAGGCTACTCATATTGGACCTCCAGTTCATCACGTTAGCTGAGTTGCCTGATGACTCTTATCCACTTATGCTTTCAACACAGCTGCTTCCATGGTCAACTCCCTGGATTCAACTCTTTCCTCCACAAGTGTCTTTTGCTCATTCTTCTACCATGTCGTCCTGCCCACCAGTCCCTAGCCTGGCTTACTCCTCATTTACTGCTGAATGAATACGTGGGGATAGGAAATCCTGGGATAGAAAGTTTGTACAGTTGCAAATTCATAGTCTTATCATTCAGCTCTGCCATATTCTTCACAAAGCAATTCCTTCTCCTTCCTCCCTGAGTTCAATGCCCACAAAACCCACGAGTTGTTTGCTGCATTCCCCTCCTCTCTCAGACTCTTCTTCCCCATTCCCTCATGGCAGAAGGGATTGCAACAAAGTGAAGTGTGTCAAGCTCCAGTGTGACCTCCCTGGATTCCCCTCACCCTCTCCAACCTTTGTTTTCCCTCTCCTCAGTCACTAATATTGATTTCTGGTCTACCCTTCACTTGTAGCCCCTCAGCATGTTACTTTCATCCTTTGAATTCCGGCCTACTGGTTTTTCTTCCATACCACCACCTTCATCCCTTCATACCAACCCTTTCCCACTCCTCTTGCTCACTCCCTCTCTATACAAACATGTCTTACTATCCCCCATCCTTAACTGACCCTGTCTGTCTCTTTTGCATTCATTTCTAGCTAAGCCCCTGCTCCAGGCCTACTCAGTCATCTGTGGTAGCCAGGAAGCTCATGGTTCTAACTGCTCTCTCAACTACTTGGGTTTATGAGCTTAAATCTCCTGAGTTGAAGAGCTGAGGAAACACTGAAGTCTGCATCTGTATGGTAAGGGATGCCCTATGGATAACTATGGATGGAGTCTTCCAAGACCCAGCCCAGAGCACTTTAACCACAAGAGTTGTTGCCTGGAGCATACTCCCCTGACCAACCATAGAGATGAGCTATATATAAAGCAATAGTGGGA